TCTTTCCACATCTTGTCTATCTTATTTATTACCTTATATGAAAGCTATACTGCTACAGTCAAGGCCAAAGTCCAACACCACAGGGTCAAAAATCCAGGAGTTGTATATACTGCTACCAGGCAGTTATCTGAGCAAAACCACAAGAAGCTTTAGCACCCTAATTCATCAAGGAGGCTTGTGAATGGGATAGCAAAGACACAGGAGTGCTGCTGGTGGATTATGAAGCAATACACTTTCATAGGGAAAGTACTTTAACATGGAAATTTTACTTAGGAACTCAGTCTTAGCAGCAGCTTCACATCTTTGCTGATTAATTTTAGTGTTTGCAAAAAACACAGTGAAGAAAAAACTGCCCTGAAAAGGCTCATTCCCTCCTTTGAAAGGAAAAGACAAATGCAGGAAAATAAAACCCAAATCTGAGTAATACAGTTCTACAGAGATGTTTGGTCTCAATTCCATTAGTTTCATCCTGTAACATTAAAAATGCATCAGTTAAACAAGAACTTAACTTTGCTATGGGCTGCTTTACGCTAAGTATGTTCATTGTCTATGGAAAAACTGGTAGATTACAGACCATAGCATAAAACTTCATCAATCTAAAACTCAATTAGATCAGCTGTCTCTAACAAAACAAGTATTGATGTTTTATGACAGACATTCTGGAAAGTCTGAAGATTGCATCAGATGTCTCAGAGAGCTCATGCCTTTCAAAAGATACACAGGACAGAAGTTTAATACACAAATGCCCAAGAGGTTCTAGGGCACAGCAAGGGCCAATAGCACATTTCTATCATATAGAAGCCTATTGAAAAATGCTGCTTTAAGTACATAATCATGTTACGAAAGTCTGCTTGTAACATTATTTGAAAAGGTCATACATGCTTTCTCTTAGCAAAAAGCATCAAAACAAACTGATGTTGCTTTAAACAGATGACACGGTGTGTGTTGTAAACTGTTATACTTAGAAACAATAAAATAAGGAGAAAAAGGCAAACTTATCAACCCCAACTAGCCTTCTACTTCACTAACAACTAAACTTAGATCAGCTTACATAAAAACACTCCGTGAAGAGCTTGCCAGAATATAAATGCATTTTGTTTCACCTACCTTCCACTTAAATTGCTGAGTCCAAATTTCTTCGCAGTACTCTGCAACATTTTTATGAGGTTAGCTTCTTCACCAGCAACTTTGCCTTTTTTAGATTTGCTCTTCTGTTTTTCATTTATAACTTGCACTTGATTATTTCTATAAATCTCAAATGCAGACTTTCCATTAACATTTTCATCAAAACTCATTTTGCTCAGGTTAGAAATTAAAGTATCCTGATATTCTTCCGATTTTCCTTTATGCAGGATTTTTGGTTTATAACCATGAGTCAAAAGATCACAGGTGTCAGTGTATATGAACTGCAGAAGGTATGCAAACAAATCTGGATGAACTTTCTCTATTACATAAAGATCACATCCAACAGCGTCTTCATCTTTACGGTAGACATCTGGAGTGTCTAGCTGGTTGTCACTGGAAACAAACAGCTTCTTGAAGAAGTCAGAGCGCACAGCCAAGATGTATTTGTGTACGGGGTAAGTTCTTGTGCCAATCTGAAAAGTCACATCATGGATGCTGTCCATTTCATCTGTTTCATCTAACAGCTTGCCAAAATCCTCTCCAAAACTTGATGATGACACACTTGGAATTTCATAGAGACTAGAACAAAATGAAATCCATCAAAACCCCCACTATTTACAAGCTCAGTAAAATTTTACATAGTATGTTTAATGAGGAGGGTGAGGTTGTTTCCATTTGGTTTGTTTGGGTTTTTTCTTACATTGCTAGACTACTCAACATTTCTTGTCCTATTCTTTACAAAAAGAACTAATAATATGGTATTTAGGCAATTAAACCACATATGTAAGATCTGTCTAGCTTCAGAATATCAAATACAGTATTTTGTCTTTACAACGTAGCCATTAAATACGTATTATCAGAATATCTTATCTTCATCTCATTTGTCCAACAAGAAAAAACACAGAAATGTTTGCTGATTTCATATTACAATCCAAAGCAATAAGAAAAAAAGCTAATATTTACTTAGTTATCAGATGTATTGGAAACCATTATGAGAATGCAAGGAACACAGTTAAGTCTTCAACTTATTCATTTTACTTTAAACATTTTTTCCAAATAAATAAAGATACACTTTTCACTTCTATTTAAATGCTGATTATTGGTCATTACTGAAGGGGTTAATTTCCACAGTATTTAGAGCTCAGAGTGTGTTAAGAAATACATTGCAAATGCTTGCCTTAAACACTTTAGATTAAAAAAAAAAAAAATCAATGCTATCTGTACCAATTATGCAAATAAATAAGTTGAGGTTTTTGGGAAACTTCAACACTGTTGTTTACTAACAAGTGCTATTCTCTAGCAGTATGGATAACCACATTTACTGTGACTTCTGTATAAGCCAAAAAATGGTTTTGCAAAGCAAAATAATTTAATTGCAATGACACACACACACAAAAAGAGAGAAAAATTACAGTTGTTGATATTTTAACTATACCTTGTTTTAGGATCTGACTGTAAAACAGCAAAATTGCAACCATTAGGGTCAGTGGCAATACTAACAGCTCGATGGACAAAAGTAAGCTTCTGAAGTCGAATTCTTTCATATACACTGTTTGCATCATGTTCAGAAGATGCATCACATGAAGAATTCTGAAGGCTCGATACAAGTTCTGCTAAAAAAAAGAAATAAATTTAAAAAAAACACAGAAAGGTCCAGGTAATTAAAACGTAACTGATATAACAAAAAGGCAAGATTTATCACTTCTGTAAGTCCATTGATGGAGTCACTGAATAAGGCTAAACTATGCTTAAGATTTCAGCTCGCTTAACTGAAACGCAGAGAGACATTTTAAGAATAAGGCTTTATGTTACATATAGGAGGGGTTTTATCCAGAACTTCTTGTGGGAGTGTTTTTCCCTTATATGAAGAAGTGGCAAACACTGAAATGAAACAAGCTGCGCATCAGTATACAACAGCACAAGACTGTTTTGTTGTCTTATCACTTTACAGCACATATAAGACAATTGCCTTCAGAGTTCACACTGTATCTGTTTAAATTACACCCAAACTAACAAAATACTATTGAAAAACATGATATTCTCTGAATACTAGATTATTTTTCAAGACCTGAATAACTGAATACATGCACACCATTCGCCACATTCATTAAAACCTTCCAAAAACTAGAAGCTCTCATTCATTACAAGTCAGTGATGAGCATCAACGAGACATTCAATGAGACATTCAACAAGACAACAGGTCTGGATTCTGAAGTGTCCTTGAAGATACTAAACCACAAAAGGAGCAATAAGCAGAAAGAAGAGAGTGCCTACAGACACATACCAGCACCAGGACAAACAGCGAAAGGAGATGTGTTTGGTGCCTCTGTGATGAGGGAACTACTATGCTATGTGTAGAATAAAACAAAGTAGCAACAGAGTAAAACTAGTATGCAATTCTAGATTGAGCAACAGAGGAAATATTTTTGCTGTGAAAGAATGCAAAAACAGACTGATAAAACTAAAGGTGGAATCTCAGTATCAAAGGAAGTAGAACTGCAACATAAAGCTATAAAGTTCAAATACATCCCAGGTTGGAAGTAAATCCATTTCTAGCCACAGATTTTTAAGACTCCTAAAAGAACAGAGCTGACAGTTTCAATTAAAATCTCGTCCTATTGCAGGCAGGTATCTTCCTCACAGAAAAACAATCCATTAGGACCTACTCTCAGCCAAGTTAATATGAACCAAGTTAATAAGGTGGAAATTGCTCTGGACCCTGTATTATGCCCAGATAAGGAATCTGGAAAACACGATAAGGTTTCATAGACTTCGTAACGCAAGCAAGTACAAGCTCCTTCTTTTGTTCAGTGCCAGTCTCTTAAGATTGGTCATCTAATATGTGACAAGATCATTCCACTGGACCCTTGTGCTACTGTTACTCTTCAGAAATACTCTTCTCCCTGGAAATCTCCACCTGAAGGTTAACTGAAAGCTGCAAAGTAAGTAAATCTTAGTATTACTTAGGAAAGAGAACAGTAGTGGTCAATGCTACCAATTGTCAGCCACAGAGGAAAGAACAAACTCACCACATAATACTGTAAAGATTCAATTAAACTTTTCTATTGATTTGAAGTACTTAAAAACCATTAAGAAATCACAGCTAACCTTTCTTTTCTGAGATTTTTTTCCCTTCTTCCAACCACTGCCCTGTAAAGGCTTCACCGTCCTGTGTGACAAACATCATTTCGTTCCTATTTAAAGCAACATCGGACATGAAGACTTGCCGGCCATACACCCAACGACACTGCTTCATGGAGTTGTTAGATGACTTCCAGCAAAACACCTAAAATATTTTTTCAGAGAAAGGGGAAATCCTCATATCATATAAAAGCAGGTACATATTACACACTACTTTTTTTAAACACAAGAACATGTCATCTTAAAGCTGCATATAAAATGGAGAAAGACATTCTTCAAAATTATATCCTGAAGTGTTATGAGCATCTATTACAAAGAATCCACAAGTAAACCACGGAAAATCTATTGTGATATCAAGATCCATTTGCCCGTGAAGGGCATTTGAAAAGCTTCTCTGAATATTCAGACATCTTCACAGCAGTTACCTATAGGACAGTTTTTAATGATATTTCAAAAAGGACAGCAAAAGGTGTCATCAAGTCAAGAAACAAGTTTACTCTAGTTCTTAATTTATAGATTTGTCCCACTGTTTTGCTTATAAATCAGGCAAAATTCAAAGCTAGCACAACAAAAATTTAAACCATTTCCTGTTAATTGTTTGACAAAAATCTCAAGTTTCTCTGTACCAGCCAAGATTCTGGAATGGAGTTTATGCCCAAACACAAACTTCAAAACATTCAACAGAAACATGAAGAACCGCATGCACTGTAGAATCCCCAACAAGGTATACTGTAGATGTCTGAAAGAAGTAAGCATGAAGCAACAATCCCATGCAAGGTAAAGCCCAGATGTGACATTAGTGGACATTAAAGCTGGGCTTTCATCTTCTCCCATTGAAGTATCTGCACAGGTCTGTTAACATCTACATAAGGAGGGGACAAAAGAATTTGAGTAATCTATTTCCTTTCCCTTCTCTTGAGCCCTACAGAATCACAGAATGGTTGAGGTTGGGAGGGACCTCTGGAGGTTATATAGTCCGAGCTCCTGTTCAAGCAGGGCCACCCAAAGCCAGTTGTCCAGGACCACATCCGGACAGCCTTTGACCATCTCCAAGGATGCAGACTCCACAATCTCCATGGGCAACCTGTGCCAGTGCTCGACCACCCTCACAGTGAGAAAGTGCTTCCTGATATTCAGACAGAGCCTCCTATGTTTCAGTTTGTGCCCATTGCCTCTGGTTCTCTCAGTGGGCACCACTGAAAAGAGCCTGGTTCCGTCTTCTTTACATCTTTCTTTTAAGTATGTATATACATTGGTAAGATCCCCCTTGAGCCATCTTTTTTCTAGGCTAAACAGTATTCTCTTTAAGAGAGTACAGTCAAGCCAGACCAGGAAATACTGATTCAGGAAACAGAAGTATTAAGATGCCATTCTTCCTCAATAATGCCTTCTTACTCAATAATTTATCAAACCTAAAAGCACTAAAGATCCCAGCATTTGCCAGTATTCAGCATGGAAAGATATGCAATGTAGGTTGACATTGTCTTCCTGCATCAGTGGAACTAAGTAGTTTCTCACTGCTAAAGCAGTGTCCCAAAGATGCTGAAGGGGCACTATCAATACTATAGATGCTAGAGTCTAAACCTCACATGAACGAGTACCGAACTGGAAGTTTGTAATCTCCAAGACAACTAATGACCTAATAGTTTGTCAAACGCAAGGCAAGACAAGGAAATACCAACACTGCTCCCTATTTTTATACACAAGGTCAGTTTTTAAGATCCTTTAAGGAAGCATTTCAGTAACAAAACCTTTTTGTAAACACCACTAGATGGCACTGAAGGTTTAGATCTCCCAGTGAGCAGATCTAGAAAAGGCTAGGGTTCTGAAGGTTCCTATAAACTGTTACTCTATGAAAGAATGAGGGAAGGAAACAATAAATCCACTATAATATTCCAGTTCCAAGTCAACAGTGTCTACACTTAACTGTAAGTACTAAGCCATTCACCGGGTTTAACTGCAACTTTTCAACAATAAAAAGGACATCTCATCTACATAATAGCTGCTTTTCAGCAAAGGCTCTAAAACTTCCATGTCCAGAGACTACTTCTGAGACTGTTTCTGGAGGGCATAAAGGTGACAGCGTAAGTAGGGTGAGAAGAGAGACAGGAGGGGGAACAAGAGAAAAAACAAACCAGATCACGTATGCTATATAACCACTTATGTACGTAAAAGTAAAGAAGTTTACACCTTCACTGAAAAGCTATTCTATGTTCACAGATTTAAAAATAAACTACTAAACGTTACTTTGGTAGTCTTCCCATAGCCCTTTAAAAAAAAAAAAAAAAAGCTCTACAGAAATGAATTGGGTATTTTCTATGCATGATTTTGTCCTGTCAACTTCTTAAGTTTAAAGTTCGATTCGTCAGTATGAAGCTTTCTATATAATTACGTTTTCTAGGGACACAACTTACTCTTCCAGCTTCATCCAGTGCTAGAATGCAAATCTTCTGACCTCCATTTTCTTTAAGATGCTGGGTATCTACCTTGTATTCCAAATATCCCCCAGTAACAAGAACTTTTTTAAGGTTCAGCTGTCTGAAAGAACACAAAAGGTTAAATTAGTATTTCTTCATTATGTGCTGATGTTGCTTCTATGATAGTTACCTTTTTCATTTAGAGAAGCAGTAAAAAAAAAAAATAATCGAGGTAGTGACACTGAAAAATTACTCTAAGTTTAGTTTCTCCCCACTGATATTACTAACTGCTAATAAAATACTATTAGTAGACTGTAATTTTTGCTTTGCTTTTAAGTCACATCATATCCACGAGTTCTTCACAAAATTCCATAAGTGAAAACCCGTAAATGATTTACCTTTGATCTTCACTACAAAAATTATAGTGGTATAAATTTCATTTAGCTCCTTGTATTAGAAGGCCTATCCAGTAGGCCGTTTCTCAGGTTTTTGTTGGGTTTTGGTTTTCACCTGATCAAAACCATGCAAGTTATCTCTTTTCAGTTTCTTAGTAGAAGAGCACAATACATGATATTAAATTTCTCCAAGTGCCAGCACCTTCACTTACAGCCATTTAGAAAACGAAATATAAAATAATCATTAAACTATAGTATGTCAATAAATACTGCTAGAATTTGAAGTGAAGCTGAAAAGCTGTCTGAGGGTTAGCTGGGCAAAAATGCTAATTACCTTTTCTAACCTGTTATTGCAAAGTAAGAGAGAATGAGATCAAATAATTTCCTAAATTCATGAGTCATGGGCCCAGTTTCTTCAACAGGTTTTATATTCAGGTTTTAGCATATGGACCAGATGATGTCATAAGGTCCCCCTTGCAACCTAAGTTACCCTTTATAACATACTATATCCACACATTAATTATGAAATTCAGACCCTAAATTACTGATTCAAAAATCACAGCAACATAACTAAATAGAATAGCAGATCTTTAATGCTTCTGCCAAGATGCATTTATACAAATTCACACTAACAAAGAAATACTAGTTTCAATATTTTTAAACCTACGACACAAAATATTTCCTCTTAGTATGTTTTTTTAAAATATTTTTGGTAAACAGCAACTAGCATCTTAGCGTCATCTAATAACAAAACCAAATAAACAAACAAACGAGAGCCACAGTTCATATGAAAGAACAGCAAATGACAGAAACTCAAGGGAACACTCTACTATCTCTACTTCACGCAAAAAAATCTTTAAAGTAGCTTGCAAGTATAAGACTACAGTGAAATCTTCACCTATTGTTCTTCATGACAAATTAGAAAAGTAACACCTACTTTGAAGCCATCTTTTTGCACTGATAGTCTGCAAGTAAATAAACATCTCCCCTTTCAGTAACGCACACTGTGGCGCCATCGCTTGCAGAGACCAAGGACACACAGATATCTTTATGGTGTAGAGCAGAAACTTGGCGAGGTGCAGTTACACATTTTTCTCCATTAGGATCCAGCAGATAACCTAGAAAATACAACACACCCCAAAAATATTATTTGCCATTCCACAAGCTGTATTTAAAGGACACTTTGCCACACTACTCTGAAGAACCTTTAAATTCTAAAAGACTTTTTAGGTAGTCAGATATTTCATCTTCAAAACAATTAGAGTGCCATCACACATACTTGTTAGTTCACCACAAACACCAGAAAACATTCAAGATTTGATACACAAAAAATTAAGTAAGGTAAATTGTACAGGGAAAGCTATTTAATTTGTTAGACTCTGCAGTGGTACTGTCTTCGATTCCAAAGAAAGAACATTTATTTGATCAAATTACAATTCAAGGCACTAGAAATACTATCACACTGGCATAAACTGTAGATCATTTCAGACACTGGAAGATACCAAAAAAGCTTGTCATACAAATTACTGTAAGTGCACTTAAGCATGAAGGCACGCAATTATGTGAAACAACAGATGAAACTGTAATGTAAGTTCTCTGAAAATATATTTTAAAAAATAAATAAATAAAATCAGGCCATTACTGCTCTGCTGCATCAAGAAACCTAACATAAAGAATCTCATACATAACATAACCATGCACTTATGTCTGCACCACAGAGTGGATCAGGGTACAAATATCCAGGAACAAGCATCAGGGCTACCTCTAAAGTTGGAAGCAACCCTGCCATAGGACACTGCAGCGCTATCCCCAAACATCTTGAAGAGGCAAGGTTTATTACCATAGGTCTATCATAGTGCCCAGCTGACACAACTATACCACTTGCGATCCAACTACTGTCTCCATATGGTACTGCACTGGGCCATGTGCATATCAGAATAGTCTCAACAACACAGGCGATCACAAAGAAACTTATATAATGGGTACTTCTATAATGGGTACATATAAAAAAAATAAATTAGTAAGATACTTCTCTGACAAGTTTTTTCACATACCTTTGCAATCTTAAATAGGAACACAAAAAAGTGTCTGAACCTGATATCAGAACTGATGCAGATTAACTGTAAGTACCAGAGCTAGCTAACAGTTTTGTTTGCACACAGATACAGAACTGTGTAAATGCAAATCCAAACCAATATTGCAATACCTGTTTATTAAAAAGGATAAAAGCAATTAAAATAGCCCATTCATACAACAAATCAAGAAGTTCACTAGTTGGTAATACGTTAGGTTTTTTCTTGACTTCAGAATAATACTGAGTTAAGTGAAGATTCTGGTAATGGTGATGTTGAAAAAAATTCTATATAGGCAAGCATTTCAGTTTACAAAGTTCATATGGAAAAAGTTATCAGTAGCATGTTTACAGTGCATGGTGAAAGAAGGACATAGGCAGGAGAGCTGAACGCTAGTTTATAAAATTTATTAAGGGCAGTACCAGCCAGACTGCTGGAAGGAGACAAGCCTGCCTTAGGGTAACGTGCAACACAAAAAGGAGCATTCTGCTTCCTGAAAGCCTTCAGTAGCAGGACTACATGAGATACATGGAAAGCGAAGGAATTACAAAGAGTTCAAATAACAGAGCTAAGTCTGACTAGCTCCCATCATCTCAAAATGTGAAAGTGACTGGTTGTAATGAAAAATATTCTTCAAAAGAAGTGTGAAGGGATGATGTCATCAGACTGGTTTTTTCTAATTTAAAAAAAAAAAAAAAAAGACAGAGAAGAGAAAGCTTAAACCAGCCTTCTGTTGTAAGCAGCAGATGACAGCTTTAGTACAAGTAACATCTTTTAATGGCTGGGTTTTACTTTCAGAACGCTTCTACCTTACCTAGTTGGCCGCCATTCAGCCCCATGGTATACACTGCTTCCTTAGTCCATAGCACTGTATGGAATCTGCCTGCAGCCACTCCAATCACCATTCTACCTTTCAGGTTTTTTGCCTGAACCTAAGCACAAATCCAAAGTACATCTTAATATTAAGCAGCAACAGGTGAATTTCACATGTACAAACTTCTGACAACATTTAACTCCTAAAGTCATTAAGAATGAAACATTGGTATCAATCCACATACAGTCTAATAAGTCAGGATTATTTCAGAAGTTTGTCAAGTGGGACACTATTGCACTAGTGACAAAAAGAAGTAAACTTTTTGCATTATCTAATCAGAACTAGAATGAAATCTCCTTAGGCTGTCTTCATATGTAAGATGTTGAACAAGACGGTATAGGAGATGTGTAAGGCAGCCAAAGAAGACTCAGGTGCTGCAAAAGCATCACCTAAAACGTTTCGGCTTGTAAGTCCTAATGCCATAAACACACTGCAGAATACTATACTACTAATTCCACACTTCAAATTTAACTTGATTTTCCAGATCAAGATGATCAAGATCAAAGCAATACTGTGGATACATAGCTATCATTACACTATGAAGAGCATCCCATTGTACCCCAAAACACTATCCTGGTGCACTTTGGCCAATTACTCTTTCCTACTTTTATAACACTGGTAGTGCAATGTTTTTCTACTCCAGATGAAGCTTCCTTTCAACAAAAGGTAATGGAACTCTTATGTACTTAAAAAAAATTAGAAAAAGTTCTAGATTGAGCATAGAAATATAGTCAAGCTGCTGATGCCCATCCTCTCTCTTCCCTGTCACTATTCTTCCCAAAGTATTATGACTCCAGAATCAACAGTACTTCCAGCAAAGGACACAGTCATCAAACCCTGAGATCCATCATCCAGTGATTCAAAAGGAGTAAAGAGTATGAATCTCATGTAATACATACCTATTGCTTTTATGCCATTTCAGCTACAGAACAATGTGGGGAAGAAAAGGGTTTTGGCAATTCTACCTTGTATCATCCATAGCACTACAAACTTTAGTACTGTTCAGGTTACAAACTAAGACATTTATCAGGACATACGTAAGTATTTAAGATTGAGATGTATGATAACACAGAATCAAGATTTTATCTGAACTCACATTCAACTTTATTGTCCTAAAAAAATTTAAAAATTATTTCCACAATCTTCACATTTTACTTTCTGTTAAAAAACAAACAAACAACTAAGCTCTGACTGATGTTATTTTTACCTGTCTAGGAACACTGCAGTTGGGAGGAGGAGGAAGAATACCCAATTGATGGAAAGTATTTAAACCAAATGTGTAAACATATCCATCTTCTGTTAAAACAACAGTATGATCCTTAGCTGCAGCTATCTGGGAGCAGTAATGGCCAGTTAAGCCTTCCACAAGTCTTGGAACCTGAACGACAACAAAAAACAAACAAAAAAAAAAAAAGGGAAAAAAAGTTTTATATTAACCAGCGGCCATCTATGAAACTAAAATTGCACCAAGAGAAAGTCACGACCAAATACTGAACTACAGATGAAGATGCATTTGAACATACAATACACTCATTAACATACTTACCACATGCAATGCACCAAATACAAACTACTTTTGTTTGAAATGCGTCCTCTGCTATCAGGGGAGATGATTTTTAAACTACCTGCTCTGAAATCAGGTTGGGAACTATATCTTCAAGAGAGCTGGACAAATATTAACTATTATGTCTTTTGGTTTTATTTTTAAATTACCATGATCCATAGATATATCTCTCTCTCCAAAACACAGGATAAACCTAAGAAAATTCCACAGAATAAGGAAGCAGTCCTGTATGTTTGACTTTTCATACACTAATGTGAGTTCTCCTTCATTCAACTGGGTAACATCCCAATTTCAAAACAGCAATTTGCAAAAAATTCCTATTTCAGAGAATTACATTTTTTTACAAAGCATTAAAAAATTGAGCTCCAGTCTTCACAATAACATCCAGGAACATAATATCAAGTTCTACCAGACAGTTGATATTAGAAATTTTAAAAAATTATTGTGCTGCAAACTAAATGCACACTACCAGGTAGTGGGCACAAAATAAGATAGTAAAGTCTAAGAACTGTATTGTCATCATATCTTAGTCTTCTTAAATTTTGTTTTTGCATATTGCAACAATGTACTATTTAAATGAAAATTATAGGTGAGTTTTCACTTAAAAGCTGTGCAAGTCTTGTAAGAACCAACCCTACCATCGCTTTTCATGCCACTCCAGCTCCACTGTACTGCTGTTTCCTTTGTGCCAGCCTTGACACTCATCAGATGGAATCACAAACCTATTTAACAAGCTAGCCCAGCCAAAAACCATTGCTTCCACTTATCTGGCATCAGCTAGCCTTTAAAACAACTCGGCCAGAACACAGAAGTTTGACCACAGTATGAAGCTATCTTAAATTAAAATATATTTAAATGCACATTCTTCTGCTCTCTGCCACATCACTAGTAGCACTGGAGAGGTTTTTTTTTCTGTTATTTAGTGGGCAGCAAGGGAGTTTGTTTGAAATCAACAGCAAACTGGTTTGCAAAGTACACTCACAGAAACTAATTAATTTTTTAGACTTGCTGTTTGAAATAAAAGAAACATCATGTTAGACTACACAAGATAGCATAAGATAGAATACCAGGCATGTTTGTTCATCACCATGACCCAAGCGTCCTCCTTGTCCGTGTCCACATGTATAAACTTGGCCTTTGTGGGAAAGGAACACAGAGTGGAACTTGCAGAGTACTACCTGAAAGAAAAAGGGCAAAAAAGGGGTGGGGAGGAGGCCGTATAGGACAAATTAATTTTCTTGGATAATCTGAAAACACCTGCCAAAACTGCTTTGTGAAGAGGTTCAGCTTTAATAAAGATCTGTTCGTGAAAATACGAGTAAGATACTAGTATTAAAGCACAGGACTGCCAAATCAAGCCACAAGGAACACAAAATATTTGCTTTAAATTTATTATGTACTGCCTTAACCTACTTGAAGAGGCCCACAGTTTGTATTTATTAAAATATAACAGCAAGAATATAATACAGCAAGCCTACTCTAGTACTCCTCAGCTGCTCTAAGCTGCCTGCCACATAAATGGAAACTGCTTGCTGAGAAATAACCAGGAAGAAAGAAAAAGACATGGGGGGAGGGGGTGAGGGAACAAAATACTAAAACCAAACACAACAAAAAGCCCACAGACCCATCTTTTCCCCCCCCCCCATATAAATTTTCAAAACTTGGTAACATCTTTGATACTAGTTTCCCCTCACACACCCCTTTAAGTTCACCGAGAAAAGGTGCTGTCATAGTTTAACCCAGTAGGCAGCAAAAACAACCACATAGCTGCTTGCTCGCTCACTCTCCACCTCCCCAGTGGGATGGGAGAGAGAATCGGCGGGGGGCGGGGGGGGAAGTAAAACTCGTGAGCTGAGATAAATACAGTTTAATATGACAGAAAAGGAGAATAATAATTAATAAAAGTATTAACAAGTGATGCACAGCACAACTGCTTACCACCCACAGACCACCAACGCCCAGCTAGTCACCAAGTCACAGTCTAAACCCCCGACCAGCTTTCCCCAAGTTATATACTGAGCATGATGTCATATGGTATGGAATATCCCAGTTTGGGTCAGTTGTCCTGGTCATGTCCTCTCCCAGCTTCTTGTGCGCCCCGAGCCTCCTCACTGGTGGGGCACAAGAAGAAGCTGAGAAGTCCTTGACTTGGGGTAAACATTGCCTAGCAGCAACGAACATATCAGTATGTTATCAACATTATTCTCATCCTAAATCCAAAACGCAACACTATACCTGCGACTAGGAAGAAAATTAACTCTAGCCTAGCAGAAATCAGGACAGGTACCTACGTAAACCATTAAGAATACCTGTTTGATATACATGCCATTCCGAGGAAAAAGGTCCACCAATTCAGGATGATGTTTACCCTGTTGACCACCATGACCCAAAGTAAAATTTATATTGTTTCCCCAGGTGTAGACTTCCATGGGATCTGCATGGAAAAAAAAATTCTCTCTGCACCTTGTAAATTTACCAGTCTTGTGCATACTGACTTTGAAAAGCAACTCCTGCTGTTTCTATTTAAAATCTGCAGAGGAAAGCTGCTTTTTACCTAAAACTGAACTTCATAAATATTTATTCTTATGAGAAGTATGGTGCTATCACAAAATATTTTAACAATAATGTACAGATGATCAACATTACTTATATATATTTTCCAGTTGCAGAAAATGCAAACATTCCTCAGCAGCAGATTTGTTACGTTTTCAGAAGACAACTACTACTACCTTAAGTTATACATGCATTGCTTCAATTTAGTAAAAAGTCTTTCCCAAAAAACTATCATGCAGTCATGTATGAAAATCATAAACACTTTCAAATCAGAGGTGCGGTCAAAAACTAACACTTTATATTTTTTAAATAACCTCTCAGTTACAGTAATATCTGAACACTATTTTCTGACGAGTAAAAAACCTGAAATCAATGTATATTTGATCATGTTGCACCACTATTAAAAAGACTGAAGAATTTTAACATATTTCACAATATATTTTAACATATTTTACTCAGAATTTGTGTAACCAAAATTACTTAAACTGGTAACAAGCTGAAAAGAACAAATTTCACTGTACAACAAGACTGAACTTGGGACATGAGGAAAAGGGGAAAGAAGAGGAGTAGAAAAGCATAAAAAAGCATAAAAATAAATACAAGCTACTGGAAAAACTATTGCCCTGTAAAAGAAAAAACTTGTGTGCTCAGAGTTATTCTCACATATTCATTTCCTATTTGGAGAAATTGTCTTTAGAGTGACTGTAACTAGCTTGTATCAAGCTATCTTGTCTAAAAAAATATTTGGAAGATTCAAGAATATATTCCTCCTCTTTTCACAAAATACACAGAAGTGATGCAAACTACTCTATCAAAGACACTGAAGTCTCTCTGACAACTTGAATTGAGATAAAAAAGAAAAATCAGATTGAGGTTGAAAGGCACCTCTGGAGATCATCTAGTCCAACGCCTCTGCTCAGGCAGGATCAGCTACAGCAGGTTGCTCAGGACCACGTTCTCTCAGGTTCTGAGTATCTCTCAGGATGGAATCTCCACAACCTCTTTGGGTTACCTATTACATCACTTTTTATTTTTTTCCACCTCTAAGTCAGTCATTCTTCTTTCATTTTTGCTACACATGTGCATCCTGCGCCTACTGCCAAGATTCTGCACCTGCTGTCTTATGATATTAGTGACCTCATATCTTCAGCTATCTCATAACTTACACCAGCCTAATTAGAAACAAAAAAAAAAATTGTCTACTCTGGTACATACACCAATATACTGTTGAACCATATCTCCTTGTAAAACACAACTGAAGCTGTTTGATTTCCTACCAGTTTTCTTGAAGACCACATGGACTGGCCTATCTTTCATCACAAGATCCAGGGCTGATAAGCCTTCTTTATCCTGAACGTACAGACTAACGCCATGCTGAAAGAGAAGGAGAGGAGGGGAAGAGAAGAACAGACATTAATTTTAACTCCACAGCTTGAAGTAAGCCAGGTAAACATTTAAGAAGCTAAACAAATATTTAATTGAAGTTTAATATTGATAAAAGGAAATTTTCTGATTCAAGTAAATTGTAAGCAAATCTGAAAAAAACCCAACAGTGCAATTCTGTTCAGCCATGTATACATCACGTTGCTCTATTAACTAGGATTTTACTGTATGAATACTTATTGAGTAATCAGATGTAATCAGTGAAACACAAAGGAAACACAGTTGAAGATAAAGCACTGCCATCTAGGAAGGGCAAATATTTACCAAAAATGAATTTACCAGCTTCAAAGAACACATTTGCTTGTGTTGGCATATTTACAGAATCAGTGTTGACTAGCTAGAGAAGTAAGAAAATTAAAAAACCTACTATGGCTTTGAAAACAAGCAGGGAACAGTTGCTGAGAAAAGGCAAGAGGATACAAACAGGCAGACAAGACAGCAGCAGGGAAGCTTCAGAAGCACAAAGCACGAACAGGTCATTGCTTTAGAACTCAGAAGTAAATATTCTCTGTAAATACCATTTTCTCAATACAAAAAAGTGCTGCTACACCAGCACTGGTTTTAAGGACTTCAAGTGTCATCAATCACATCCCTAAAGAGAAGAACCGCAGGTGTCCCCAAGCAGAACCTAATGGATAGCACAGCTGTACCTATGTACCACAGTTCATGGCTAATATAAAAGAAAATCTTACCGAATCTCACACTTAAGAGGTAAACACATGAAATACAAAAATCGAGGCAGCGCAATTTATTCAAGCATGACAGAAGGAGAGCTGGCCACATCTACAGGAGAGATTTTAACTTGTAACTTCATTTCAAAAAACACTAGCCAGAAGAACAACATACATTCTCCAAATTATAAAGGCAACCCTATTAGCAACAGCGCTGGTATTAATTCACTATATAACAGAAAGACCAACCTATTTTTATGATTTAACAGGTAGCTGGATATTCTCCTCTTTGGCATAAGTCATTTACAAGCAGAACAGAGGCTGCAGTGATATTAACATGGTCTGAATTTGTAAAAACAAACCCCTGTCGCTGAGTGGCAGAACTTGTAGTTACACAGTCTGAGAATAAGCCATGACTGCCTCCAGCCCACAACAGAAGTCTGTCATCCACACCAGCTGAGTACCCCAGGGGTTGATACTGAGGCCAGTACTGTTTAATATCTTCACTAATGACCTGGATGACAGGACAGAGTGCACCCTCAGCAAGGCTGATGATGATACAAGACCAGGAGGAGCAGCTGATAAGCCAGAGGGTTGCGCTGCCATTCAGAGGGAATTTGACAAGCTGGAGCAATGGCCTGAGAGAATCCTCAGCAAGTTCAACATAGGGAAAGGCAAATCCTGGCCCTAGGGAAGAACATCCCAGTGTACCAATACAGCTGGAGGCTGACTGGCTGGAAAGCAGATTGGCAGAAAAGGACCTGGGGCTTCCGGTGGATAACCACTTAGTTGACCACAAGCCAATAATGTGTCCTCACAGCTAAGAACAGCGAAAGCATCCAGGGTTGCATGAGGCAGCGTTGCCAGCAGGCATTATTCAGCACTGGCAAGCCACATCTGGAGTGCTGGATTCAGGTCTGGACCCCCCAGTACAAGGCAGACATGGACATATAGGAGCAAGTCCAGCAAAAGACAATGAAAATAGTGACTGAGGCATACGACATACAAGGATAGGTCGAGAGAGACGGGATGCTTAGCACAGAGAAGGTTGAAGGGAAGAGGAAGGACATGTTTTATCAATGTGTATCATAAATACCTGATTGGAGGCAGGGGGTGGGGATCCCCGTGATATCCAGTGTCGGGACAAGTGACAATGGGCACAATTTGAAATATAATAAATTCTGTTTAAACCTAAAAAACTTTTTTACTGGACTAGTATTAAAAGATAGGAACATAGGAGATGTTTGAGTCTGCATTCCTGGAGACATTCAAAATCCAACTAGACACAGACCTGGGCAACCTGCTCTAGTTGACCTTGCTTGAGCATGGGGGTTGGACTAGACAATCTTCAGAGATCTCCTTCTAGCTCAGCTATTTCATAATTCTATTCTATAATCCCTTCCTGTTTGTTGCTAAAATACCTTTCTATAATGCAGTACAGCAGAGAGACCTTTTAAGGAAACGGGAAGCAGAGCACTCTCCATGAGCTGTTTCATTCTGCTTCTTAGAGGAGTATCAGCAGAGCCAGCTATCAGAAAAAACTCACTCATTTACACAACTGATAGAAAAGTAAAGTAAGTGTGGGGAAACCTGTATAGGCCTCCTGTAAGCAAATACCAACGATACAGATATACGCACACACACTAGAGGACTAAATACTTTTTCATACATTCCATACACAGTTTCCAGTTTTCTAGAGAACACAATCATGCACAATTCTCACTATGTAAGGGTACAGGACAGGAAATCCGTATGTAACACTTACCAGGTCATCAAGAATTAAAAACTACTGGATTCACAACCATTTTGCTTAAACTGTTTGTTGAAAGCAGAGTTTAATGCTTACAAATGGCTAGTCACTGCAATTTAAAAAGGCTGAACTCAAAATGAAAAATTCTCTGCCTTAAAAGGTTTGCTGTTAAGTAACCCTGAACCACAAATATTTCATTTTCTCACGTGGTTAAAGTGACCCTGAACATCACAGCTCTTCCCTTTGCTGTATTTGGGACAGGAGGAACAGAAGAGCACTCAAAAAATACACACAACTTTCTAAGTGATTAGGAAGAAACAGCAATTGCAAGAAAGGAATGAAGGGGACTGAGCAAAAGCCCTGGTTAAAATAAGAATTAAATGTGGATTCACTTCATAAAAAGCTCCATATCTTGAAGTGCTTATCTCTCAAATGTAAGATTAATTTCTAATTATAATTCCATTTAAGCTTTTATTATTTTATGTTCTCTTAAACCAAATTGGTATAAGTACTGAAGAGTCTATTTTTAGACTATCTTTCGTCTGATCACTCTCCACTTTTAAGATCCTGACCCTGGTATGATCCACACAAACCAGTCTTCAGGGAAGTCCACAATTAATCAGGGATCCTTACTCGGTGCTAATTACTGCATGGGTGAAGGCAGACATCTTTTATGAACACAGAGACAACTTTCAAGTAAATCAATGCACTGCGATCTAAATACAGTATTAAGATAACTTGCTTTCAGGCAAGTTTGAAAACCCACTTTTACATAACAAATACAATGCTAAAATTGTAGATACCAAGGAAAACTACAGTTGTAAATCACTCACCTTCAGTAATGACAAAACACAATCAATGTATCCATAAAATATACTTCTGTGCAAAGCTGTCCATCCAGATTCTTTGTCTTTTGCCAAGAGATCTACTCCTTTGGTCTCAGCCAACCAGTCTAGCACACCTTTTTTGCCACAAGACGAAGCAAGATGTATAACATTTCTACCAAAGGCATCTTTTATAGTTGCAGCATTATAGCAGTAAGAAGAGAGAAAGGCCTTGATCTGGCCTTCACTTCCTCTGGTTACCACAGAAATAACATCCAAAGCGTGCTGTAGAGATCGACACTTTGAAGTGCAGTCTGGCATGAGAGAACTCATCTTCACTTCTAAAGCTGCTCCTGTCCTTAAGGGGAACAGCCCTTCAGTGTATCAAGGCACTCCGATTCAGTACACAACACAGTGCCTTAAGAAATTTGTAATTCCAAGGATGTAAATCCAGTCTTATTGAGCTGCCATTAGAAATCTTTGTACTGCTATGTTTGGCACTTGATCCAAATAAATATTTATAAATATATATTTTTAGAAGTCTTACTTCACCATCTTATATAACAAATATTCTTGTCCATAGAAAATTCCAAAAGTGAACTACCTCAAGTGTGGAGAGGGGGATTCCCCCTCCACACTACCTTATTCTTCTAAAACTCCATAATTGCAAGGGAGACCTGAAAGAGAATAAACCAGAACAGATTAGTAAACAAAAAATTCCTTTCCCCAGCAACTGTACCAATTTAAATGCATAACAAACTAGCACTTGCAAGTACAGGAGCAATGTGGCAAGGGTTAACTGACCTGCCCCATGCCATCTGAGCTTATATTCAGACATTCAGTCAGTTTAAAAATCCATGACTCCCTTCCCCATCCCAGCCTCTAAAGGCACCTCCTCCCTTTCTTTGACATGAATCTTTGAGGCTACATGGTGAACTGGATCCAAAAAAGTATTTTGCTTTCCCAGCCTTAGGGTCCTCAGGACCCTGATAGTTTACTGTCTAATTATACCACTACTTTGTGATCAGAAAGCAAGAACTGACCTAAGAGACTGCTGGGGAAAAAAAAAAACAAAACCAAACCCACAAAAACCACCCACCAAAAAATCCCTACAGCTGCTGAGCACACCTTGGCTAACAGAAGCTTTGGCAGTCACACCCAGAAGGTGGGAGGGACCACCACAGTTTCCCTTAACCACTGCAAAAAAGGGACTATGCTCCACTTACTTTCCCCTGAATGTCCAACCATCTCCCTACTAAGTCTCCTGCAGAATCAACAGGAAGGCTCCTCTCCACCAATCCCGGTGACAAAGGTGAGAGGAATGATGGCAACAGAGCAAAGAAAAGCAACTTGTACAAGAGATGTGAATTCAGGCTGTTAGCAGTTAGCACTCATGCAGGGCTAAGGTCTAAAGCTCCTAAAATAGGCAGGAAGAAGTGGAGGTCTAGGTTGGAAGGGATGAGGGAGGAAGAAAAAGGAAAAGGAGGCAAAGATACAAATTCTTCATGAAAATATATTCACAGGCTGGGGCATACAGCATTTCTGTGTATCTATGCATACTTATCTTCAGCATACCCATCTTTCTCTGGCATCCACTCTCTCAAAAGTAAAGAAGACCTGACAGAAGCACTCATCTAGCCTATCAAATGCATGCAGTTATATTTAAAAGGGTTACAGTACACAAAGTGCAGATGACAGCATAAAAATCACATATAAACCCACCTAAAACAGAAACAGTAAACTGTATACAACATTGATACACTGCCTATTTTAATGTGAATTGCTATTCAGTCCCAAAAACTTGCACGCTTCAATCTTTTCAAGCATAAATTGCAAACTGTGAAGTAGCACTGAATCATGCATTACACTCCTTGATGTTTTTGCTTGCTATGCAAACTGTATTTTAAAGTTGTCTACGCATGAGTAAAATACTCCAAAAGAAGTTGGACAATGCCATCATGAAAGCTGAATAAATAAAACTAAAAATGTTAACAAATCCTCGGGTGGGTGAGGGGAGAAGGGGTGACACACCACATGATGACACAAACACAAAACAAACAAATAAACCTCACCCTGCTATCTTTCCAGCTCAGCAATCATAATAAATGTGCACACCCCACTCCCCTCAAAAAAACCCATTGAGCTTAGCTTTCATTGCTGTTCAGGCACTGAATATATAACCATATTTTGTTAATGTCTCTGTCTACAGAGACATGTCAGGGAAAGATGATTTTGTTTGGAAAAGAAAACAGAAATCCCAGTCCTCCTCCTATTTCAAGAACTATGGCAAGATTGCCACCAAGCTGAAAGCAATCAGTTTAGAGCAAACACTTATAATGGCATCTAAACTTTTGAGAAAAAAAAAATATTTCTACTCCAAGAGTATTCATTTAAACATCTCATGACAAAGCCTTCAACAATTTTTTTCCACCTCATTCAGAAGGGATTAAATACTTGGAATGGAAATCTACAGATCAAAAGTTGTTCAGTATGTACCTTCAAAACAATTTCAAACAGCAGGCAAATGAAGAAAAAAAGTAGGTTTTACTCATTACAGTATAGTCCCTTCATCCCTGACCAGGAGCAACATTCAGAAATATTTCAGAGACCAAAACTGACCATAGCTGTTTAGCTTACATTTGTCACAGCAAGCTTCAGTTCACTATACAAGGCATTTTACAACCAACATACAAAATTCTGCAGTAACAAAGGAACTTTAACCTATACCTGTGTGGACTCTTCTCCTTTCACCTCCTCTAAAGCCTCAGACTATAAAGAAAAGTGATTCACTGTCACAAGCTTGAAAAAAAGCTCTAGTTTCAAGAACACAGCCCGACTTGCTGCTCCAAGGAATCAGTGTGTGACAGGTGAGTGCTATCAGCAAACTCAGATTGCATCAAATGCTCTTTTAAATAGTAATAATTTAAAAAAAAAAAAGTAAAAATAAAAAGAACGTAAAGAAAAATTACTCAGGGGAGTCACAGAATAGACTAATCTGTTAGGTAAACTGGCATGAAATGGCATCAACACCCAAGGACACAGTCCTGCCATGCCCTGTGCCATACCTTCCCTTGTGCAGATACACACCTATTTAAGACACTGGATTGCATGAGAAAATGATTCAGAAGGAAGTAAATCCTGGTTCCAAAGAAACTTGTGCCATTACAAGAAAGGAAAAGAGAGGCCAGAGAAAAACTTCTTTAAAGCACCTGGGCTCTAGCTTCACCAAACGCCGAAACACTGTGAAGAACACACCACACATTAAATGAATAAAAAGTCTGCTACTAGATAGAAATACAACCCTGCCTACCTCACACAAACTCCATTATGGTGACATTTACTGCACCTATGTGAAATCTGACTCTGCTGAATTATTTCTTCATAACTCATTCTAACTCAGCCCTCCTTTACTATAAACATTACAACACTAGATACTATATTGGTACACTGATGTATACACCTTGAGTTTCGAGACAGAGGGCTGCAGATCAGGTTTTCACCCCTCCACAATAAAGACTAACACACCAGTAACACAGAGTATCATGTTATTACAACATCTGAAAAGGGTTAATAATCAGATTTGACTATTTTTAAATACAAAGTAGGTCCTTAACTGAAACCTTAAAACTTTAAAATTGTGAATTGATGCTCATGTCTGTATGAAAACATGGAGCCCCAGCTGAATGATCAGCACCTAAAATATGCACAAAATAGGAACAGCACCAGCATTTTTTAAACTTTGAATTGAAATGTCTAGAATACGGTGCCCTTTTGATTACGTGTCTCTGCTTTTATTTGCAGATATTTCTGTAGGCTTCTCAGCACTAATCATATTCACGCTATAATACCAGTGTCTTCCTAATGCTGTAATTATTAAAAGACAAAAATGTTCAAAAGATGATAAGCTTATTTAGCTATTTATGATGCGATAGGTATAATTTATAATTCAAATTCTTTTAAAAAACTGATTCCTAATTAACATTTTCATTACAGAAAAAAAGGTACCAAAAATGGAGGAATTGGAGCAGTATTCAGAGAATCCCAGAGATGTTTTATTTCAGCAGCAAGCAGGTCTCTAAATTTTCCCTTAGAGACATGAGCCACTTATTATACATGTTCACAGCCCAGAAAAATTTGAAAGACTACAACCACCTTGGAAGCAATTCCTAAGAAGCAAGAAAGCATTTGTGGTATGTTGCCTCCTGGAAGTAAGTAGGTAAAACCCTCTCACTCAGCACTTCCCCTCCAAGAAGGAGTCAGATGTGTCATCTGACCTTACAGAGTCAGAACTCCTACAGCTGAAAAAGCAGCTTTCTACCTACTGTGTCTAACTGAAAAATATCTGTCTCTTTCAAGAAGTCACTACAAATAGGCAAAGAGTTGGCACTTTTTTGCTAAAAAGTCTAAAATCAAAGCTGTCACACCTCTCGAGTATGAAATTAACTAAGATTCTACACATCTGTAAGACTAAGCTAACAGAAATCTTTAATGACTAAGGATCATGATGGTAGATATCATTTCCTGCAAACAGCAGAGGGCAGATGTGAAAAGTTGGGATTTTGGTCAATCATTGGGAAAAACGAACAGAGTTGGCAGAAGCTTCCCATTGTGGAGTTCCAGAAATATCTCCACTTATCGAAGCTGCTTACAGGGGACTTTTAGTGGCTTAGTGGTCTTCAAGTCAAAGGGTTCTGTTTACCTATTTTTGTTTTCCAAGATGCTTCCCAGAATAGATAAAAAATATATAATCAGTTGTATTCTGGTAACATGAAATCTCACAAAAGTTAAGCCAGAAGAAAGAGATGACAATACCCATGCAGCTTTAGGACCACCTACTACCTATCTGTTTCTTAGTCACTACCTTTCAGAAGACAAACCCAGTGAAGGCAGAGCATATTCAGCACAAATTTTCCTGATGCCTAGAACACTGATATTTAGCACGGAGGCATCACGAACTACTGGATGAAGGAAAATACCAGACTGCTCGTTTCCACATCTGTAGGATCATGTTTGCCATCAACACATTCCCAATTTTCTTTTTTTCTGGAAAGTATTTCCACAGATATTGTGTGCTCTTGGCTTAAAGGTACAAGGGTGCTATCAGAAGAGAACCAGCAACCAACCTCTAACCACATGGTTGGATGCCAGAAACATATATTGAAACTGCCAATCTGGGAGGCACACATTTGACACTAGAATTCATACCTGTGGTCATTCAGATTCTTCCTGATGAAAGCCTATACTCAGAATTAGATCTAGCAAAATCCAGCTAACATGGATGCAGCTAACAGTACCGAGGCAGTGATTAGTAACTGCTATTGTGGTTTTTTTGG